CACAATGGTTTGACTGCAATGAATGAACGAATGACCGATCTGGCAACACCATATTCCGAGAATTAACTCCTGTGTTTATCTAACACATTAGGCAGCGAGGAAATTCAGACGAGTACAGTCGTGCATAGCGACATGTCCCATACGATAAATAAGCTACAACAAGAGATACCATTGAATGTGAAGTCACCACAAGGACTTACACTGCTAAAACGCATGGTGCAGAAAATGTATTACACTGCTAGAACGCATGGTGCAGAAAATGTATGAATTTCGGGAAATTTTATTTTGGGAATCAGTGTAAAAATTTTTTACAGATATTAAAATCTGTAAATTAGAATATCTGATTCTATATTCTTTCTACATTAAAGGAGCGTTCATTTTGTTCGTTTATCATAAAAAATGTAGAAATCACACCATTTTTAGAAACATGCTTACAATTTCATTGCTCTAGAAGGGCGGGCATTTAAATAAACTCCGTCCAGCTGCCCCTACCAGAAGTGCTACAGGGTATGATTGATAGACTAATCAAAATTGGAAGGTACTATATGGCATGGAAATGAATGTGGAAAAAACAAAAGTAATGAAAATTTTGAGACAACCAACCCCAGTCACAATAAAGATAGACCAAAAACAAACTGGAGAATGTGAAATGTTTTAAATATTTGGGTAACTTGTTAACAGATGATGGAAGGTGTACTTGTGAAATTAAATCTAGGATTGCCATGGCAAAAGCTGCATTTAGCAAGAAGAAGAATCTTTTTTACCAGCAAATTGGACTTAAATTTGAGAAAGAAACTTGTGAAATGCTACATTTGGAACATCACTTTGTATGGGGCTGAAACTTGGACACTTAGGGCAGTAGATCAGAAACACCTGGAAAGCTTTGAAGGATGGAGAAGATCAGTTGGACCGATTATGTGAGAAATGAAGAAGTGTTATTTAGAGTCAGTGAGCAGAGGAATATTCTACACAAAATAAGAAAATGGAAGGCTAATTGGATTGGTCATATATTACGCAGTAACTGTCTTCTAAAAGAAGTTATTGAAGGAAACATAGAAGGGCAGATAGAAGTGACCAGAAGACAAGGAAGAAGACGTAAGAAGATGCTGGATGACCTTGGGGACAGAAGAGGATATTCTCATTTTATGGATAAAGCTCTAGATCGCATTAAGTGGAGGAACTGTTTTGGAAGAGACTGTGGTCCTGTCATCTGACAGATTACTGATGAATGAATGGGAAGAGTTATGTGTAACTCAGTGTTTGATCAGAATTGTTTTAAATGTGTAAAGTTTCAGGTTCTAACTTGAATGATAGATCCTTTTCATTTCAAAGTATAGCATTCAGTCCACTCTGTAGCTGAAACATTTTGCTGCAACCAGCCAGTTGTTGAATTATTGTTTCAGGGAGATGGTATGCTATGTCATATGAATGGGAATACCGTATTAAAGTTATTAATGTGTTGTCTGTCCTCTGATACATTCCATGAGAGTGTATATATATTTCTGAAGTTTTAATATGATTTAATGGGTTTAACCTTAATTTATGCCTGTTGATCAGGTGTGAAGTATATCACAAAAATGTTTAATGCTTCGTTACTATTTTGACAGTTTAGGAAAAATAATTGTGTTGTTAAAATGTATGAATTCGTGGTTCCTTTCTGTGTTTCGTACATACTGTATGTATAAAGAAAAGTGCAATAATGAGAAGTTTATATTCAAGTAGGATGATTTTATGGACTTTTTTTTTAATTGACAAGGATCAGAGTTCTCTTCATATAAAAGTATTTGTGATTTTTGTTTTCATGGTACAGTACTTTTAAAAAATTATTAAAAGTCATTGCTATTATTCAGATACATGTATGTAAATATGTGGCTTCTGAAAATGATTACGAATAAGAGATAAATCTCATTGTAATAGGATGCTGAAGCAGCACAAATCAGGGAAGAACGGCTGAAGGCTTATGCAGAGAAGAAATCCAAAAAACCTGCCATGATTGCCAAATCTAGTATCGTTCTGGATGTAAAACCATGGGATGATGAAACCGATATGAAGGAAATGGAGGCCAAAGTCAGAACCATCACAATGGATGGCTTAGTATGGGGAGCCTGTAAGTATCATGTTTTCATACAATTCCTTGATGTCCAGAACATTAATTAAATTCATCAGCATGTCATTAGAAAGTACACAAATCCTGAAGAAGCATGTGGTGAAATCAGTTAGCTCTTTCAATTCACCACTTTTTATCAGTTACATTTTATGTTGTTCTATATGTAGGATGAAATGGACTATCTTGCCACCTGCTTTCACTCTGATGTCTTGCTTGGCTTATCCTTAGACCCTGAAGATATAGAGGTGTTTTCTCTGAAACGTCTGTTGGCTTTCAACAGACTGCAAGGCAGTGTATCCCAGAAGACAGTAATCTTCATAACCACTGCTATGAGAACCTCAAACCCTATACATGTATAGATTTTCACATAAAATGTATGCCATTTCACTGTAGCATTGTTCATGAACTGATGGGCACAAGAATGAATGCATTTCAGTAGATTATATAATTAGATTCTTGTTATGTACATTTTCCAGGTGTTCAGTGTTGGCACCATGAGTTGCCCAGCAGATACCATATCTATATTCAGTTTCAGTCCATAAATCCTATTATTATATGGTTGTCAACACAACAGTCTCCAAAAGTCTCCAAATAAATCAGTATTTTTTTTAATTGATAGTGAGATGGTACTAAGTCCCTTGTACTACAGCCACTTCTGGCCTGTTGTACCAGCCCCAGATGATAGGTGAGGGTGATTGTGGAGCAGTTGGTGGAATGAAGATTGGCAGGGGAAACCGAAGTACTGCTCCAGTGCCACTTTGTCCACCACAAATTCCACTTGACCAGACCCGGGATCAAATCCTGGCCGCCCTGATGGGAAGCCAGCGACTAACTGCTTGAGCTATGGCACAGTCTAAATAAATCAGTATTAATGTATTAACATCTGTCTATTATCCTGTACTTGCTACATGTTTTGTTTCAGCAGTATCATCATCAAGCAGTTTTTATGATGTTGAACTTTAGTTGGTCCTAACAGAATTATGAGAACAGGAACAATCTTAATATCCAGTAGTGGAAAGAAGTCATATTTCCACACAGGACACAAAATATATAACACACACACACACCAAAACATAATAATTCCACCACAGCTATTCATGAAACAGAAAGATGGAGAGTATATAGAACCTTTATTATCACTTGCACGCGAGTAATCACCCACATAACATACATGTAATGGACTAAAACAACACCTACTTCCAAGATACAGTACACTCCAAGTACCCTGTACTCAACTACAAATCACCACGGTAATTCACTTTACTTAAAAAATAATTCCAGGTAATTTAATGAATATTTAATTAACAGTTAATTTTAATGTTTTGATAGAGATCTAAATACTAATATTTTAATGTTTTAACCCTTAAGTCTAATATTACAACATCAACTTAATAATGCGATGAGACACATACAGAAGTTGTAATGATATTTATGTCAGTGCAGTTACCATTAAGGCTCCCACACACAGACGCGATACGATTCGGGACGATATAGCACTCGGGACGAAAGCGGCTGTTTACCGAGTGGGCCGCGCACACAGCGCGACACTCGGGAACCTCGGGAATCTTTGACACCCGATAACCAGCTGGCCATGACTCACACTCAATCAGTATCTATACGTACGTGAAACGACATGGGTAGGCAGATGGAACAAATAATAGAGTTCGTCAAAGAAAATGCTTTATTGTACGATACTCGTCATCCGATGTTCAAGGATTCACGTTCTAAGGATAGAAAGTGGAAGGAATTGGCTGTTACAATGAACAGAGACAGCAAGTAGAAAAATTTGTATATATTTATATAGGGTTAAATATACAGTAACTGTGGGCATTCTTAGTGTAGGCTATGCACCAGTTCCGTTCACTAACACGAATTCCAGGGACAGTCATCTAGTTGAAGTACGCAACAAACCGCTCTCTAATGGCGTAGCTAACGTTTGCCACCCTTGGGAGACGTAAAGATTGGATAGGGAACATTTCTCCTTCTAATGGCTCCACTCGTAGCAGTTCTTCCCTGTACTTTTCATCACAGATTTTGAGATGTAGAAAATTATGAAGCAAACACGCTGCTGATACAATGTGTTTTATATTTCATTCTTTCAGTTCTATGGGTATCAAAAAAATCCTCCACTTAATGGCAAGAATAGGCTTCCGGCAATTGGTATATTGTTTAGTGATATCTTCTTGCCCGATGGCTCTCAGGATTGCATCAAACCTGTCAATATTCATCCTGAAATATATATAGAACCGTTTTTCGTCCTTCAGGAGTTGAGGTATCAGTGTATAAAACTCCCCCAGTTCCTCTCTTGACAAGTTTATATCATGAATCCAAGCGATTCGTCTCTTTCGCCTAAAATACGAACACACATAGCAACCACTTATACGTACTTAATTAGAGACTCGTTATGGAATTGTAAATATTTGTACATATATATGACATACTGAATATGTGGAGGAAAAGAACCACGCAGATTTAGTGTTCAGTAAAATACTTGCCGGGATTCACCTTCGTCTTCATCAAGAGCGACAGCTAAAAGCAAAACTTCTTCCTCCAAAGACGGATCCATGACTATTTACCGCTGCGATACCGAGCGGTCTACCGAGTGCGCTCGGTAGACCGAAATACCGAGGCGATATACCGACTGTGATAATATCGCGTTCCTTGGAGTACCGCTCCAGTGTGCGGACCTCCATTTACCGCAATGTAATTAGATATTGTCCCGTACCGTACCAAGCTGAGTATCGCGTCTGTGTGTGGGAGCCACAGTAGGACACAATCCAGTGAGAGTTGTATCATGAAAACTGCCAGATGATCATGCTGAATTAAAACACGTAGGAAATATAGAATAATAAACACATGTTATACAGTAGTGTTGGTGTATTTGGAGATCGTTGTGTTGATTTCCATACAATACCACATAGTGATACAAGACAGGATGACAATAAAGATAGTTCAGGCCACATGTTGTTAAGTGTGTTGAGAGTAACTGTAGCTGCTGCAGAATTTATCCTACCAGCAAGTTCCAGGAAAGTGGAAGTAAATGGTAGCTTGTACACAGTATTCTTGATATACTGCCGCAAAGAAAAATGAAGGCAAGTAGGATCAGGTGGGTGAGATGGCCAAGTGATAGTCAACCCTTTTCTTGGGAAACTTGTTATTAAGTAAGTCTGTACCTCATGGAAATGTGAAGGCACTCCAATTGGAACTGCATGTCATGAGGATTCTCTTCTTCAAAATAGGCATGAGGAGCTCCTATACCAGGTCTGGGGTACCTTATGCCAGTCACAGTACATTCCTCAAAGAAAAGAAGCTGGAACACTTTTTGTTTAGACAACATGTAAAACACATTCAACACTGGCATGTTTCTTTGTATGTCCATTTTTTTCATGGGGATTTTTGCCCTCTCAGACTCTCAGGTTGATTGACATTTCCTGATATGTTGAATGTGATATCATCACTGAAGACTCTTTTGGCTGTTAAGTTTTGTCTTCTTCCAGTCTTGAAAGGAAGTGACAGTAAACTGCTTGTTGCAGGACAGTTATGTGTTCACACTTATAACTCTGCTTGTTGCAGGACAGTTATGTGTTCACACTTATAACTCTGCTTGTTGCAGGACAGTTATGTGTTCACACTTATAACTCTGCTTGTTGCAGGACAGTTATGTGTTCACACTTATAACTCTGCTTGTTGCAGGACAGTTATGTGTTCACACTTATAACTATTAAATGTGCGTGGTTTCTACAGATTATTTTTCCACTATTGCGTGTGTTTTATTTTCAGACAGCATCCCCCATTTTATGTGGTCTGTGAATAAAAGTTGCTCAGACTGGTCAACTAGTGGGGCTTACTCCTTTAGAGATGCAGCCAGACTGGTCAGACAGTTTATACAACTTGCAAATTGAAATTTTTATGGTAACTGATTGATGGGGGGGGGATACTTATCTTCTCAACAGTATCCAGATGGGCCCACCTAGCCTGTTATCCAGTGGGTACCAGGGAGTCTTTAATGAGTTAAAGCAACAGGGGCATGAAGCTGACCACTCAACAACAATCTAGAGCCTAGGTTAAGAATGTTGGAGCTACACCTTCACTCCCCCATATTTCTTTATGGTTGGTGCTTAATTAGCTAAGCACTGGAAGAACTTTATTTTACTTCCCTTACAATCTCCATGTCACTGTAACCACATACCTAGGTTAAGAATGTTGGAGCTACACCTTCACTCCCCCATATTTCTTTATGGTTGGTGCTTAATTAGCTAAGCACTGGAAGAACTTTATTTTACTTCCCTTACAATCTCCATGTCACTGTAACCACATACCTAGAGTCCTGAAACTACAACACACATTGTTTGTTTGTTTTTTATAATTGAGAGGCCATTTTTAGAACTGTGACTTCAGCTTATCACATGGAAAGATTGGGAGATTGAAGTGGCATGAATTATAAACTTGATCATATTAACTACTCAGATGTGTTTCATTTTTATTCCTATGCTTTTTAGTCATTAGAAATAGTACAATAAAGTTGTATGCACCCTGTTTATGTATTAGGACTGTTCAAAGGGTAATGATATTGTGAATAGAGCCCATTACAAGGTGGTATCGGAAAGTTCCCAGAGTGTTATTGTTGTAACTGCCTTTTGAAAGAAGATGAGAGAGGAGGCTAAGGTCACACTCCCAAAAACCACAGCAGTACTCAAGAGCTTTAAGGGAAATTACTTCCACAGTGCTTTTGAAGTGTGAAGAAAATGATGGGATCACTGTATACATTCCCAAGGAGACTATTTTGAAGGAGATGGCAGCCAAAATTGAGTAAATTAAGCCAGCATTTCTTTTTTGGCCTAGTCTGGGAACTTGGTACAATACCACCTCATATGTTAGAGAAGAGAAGAGGCAGCGTGGCAAAGAACAAGCGCCAGAAGCATGACGCTGTTATGTTATATAGTTATCCATTGTTGCAAATAAACATCGGTGAATGGCAGCTATGTTGAATTGTCCCTCTAAGAGCACACTGAAGAAATTTAAAAGGCACAGAATACCAAATGTTGGGAAGTATATTTTACTAATTTATATATATGAAATTCTAGATTGGTGCTGAAGCTGGATTGATTCTGCCTTCAGAATTTTAGAAAATACTCAGGAAAATCTGTAGAAAGAATGCATGGACTCTGAAAAATCAAAGAAAATAAACTGGTTTTTGTACCTTTTAATTCCTTGCTGTAAGATTAGGGGAGTATGTTGAGATGGGGTCAGACAAGTCATAGAAAATGGGTTGCATCTGCCTCTTCTTAATTCTTCAGGATAGATCAGAGAAATATGTAGTTAGTATGGGTTCACAAAGATCAAAGAAATATAGTAAGCTGGGAATTAATAAAGAAGGTTTTAAGTGAAGGGCCTTGGCTAAGCATAGGAAGTTGAGGTTTTCTGAAATTCTAAGAGTTGTTTGATGAAAAAACACATGAATGTTCTTTGATGAAGTCATTGCTCATTGTGTAAAATTTGAGGTTTTCATGGTGGTGAGTATGAAGAAAGCAGTCTTCTGTGATGTGGCGTCATGTAGATATTGTGTTAACAGATGTTTCGGAGGAACGTGTCACCTCCATCTTCAGGGTAGAAGGAAAAAGATGAAAATCCGTGAGCAAGGAACCAGCGCGAACAGATGCTCACAGACTAATGTTGAGTCAAACTGTATAAGAGCAGGAAGAGAAAGGGAGAGTTGGCTACATGGGAAATCAGAGAGGAGAGGGGAGGGGTCTGGGGAGGTGGGCCAGCAGGTAGCAGGCTCAAGCAGGTATAGAAATGTGTTGGGGGGGGGGAAGGCAAGGTTAATAGGAGGGCATTAACCCTGACGTTTAGGGGCTGTGATGCAAGTGGCTGTGGCTGAACACAGCATCGATTTGGGACACCGCATTCAGCTTCAGAATACCTCCATCCTTGCCACCAAGACCCGATATGAGGGATCGCATCATTAGGGAGGCCATTGAGATTGAACTCCATCCTGACAGTATGAACAGAGAGGTGGGGTTTTGTCTCAGCAAGTCATGGAGGCCTCTCATATGTTCCCTCAAGAAACCCCCGGGACATGATGCCAGATCCACAAGGCCGTGGAGGTCCATGCCCGACTTGCATTGCAGCCCCTAAATGTCAGGGTTATTGCCCTCTATCAACCTTTCCCCGACACGATTTCTATACCTGCTCGAGCCTGACACCTGCTGGCCCACCTCCCCAGACCCTTCCCCTCTCCTCTCTACTGATTTCCCATGTAGCTCCCTCTCCCTTTCTCTTCCTGCGCTTATACAGTTCGACTCGACATTAGTCTGTCAGCACCTGTTCACGCTGGTTCCTCACTGACAGATTTTCTTCTTTATTTTTCTACCCTGAAGATGGAGGCGATACATTCCTCCGAAACGTCGGTTAACACAATATCTACATGACGCCACATACAGAAGACTGCTTTCTTCACTGCTCATTGTTAGACATTCAGCTATATGCAGGAATTTAAAAATTTAGACTTTGCTGTTGAAGTACTCAACCTTTACTGAGCATTCATGGCACTGATATTGTGGCGTTCACACAGTCCAGCTGAATGAGCATTATACACTTTTTTAATACTAATACTGTTCCTTTCAAGCTAAAAGCTTTTTAAAATTACCATAGCATTTATATTTTAAAATTACCAGTACCTGGATGATAGAATGTTAAGAATCCCTGAATATAGGATGGAAATACAGCTTCACACCATCTCAAACTCAGCAGTAAATTAAGGTGAGGGGTGAACTTTGTTAATTATTAGTGAGGCTGGATATTGTAGTGAATATGTATTTCTCTTTGTCCTTGCAGCAAAACTGGTTCCTGTGGGCTTTGGAATCAACAAACTCCAGATCATGTCTGTGGTTGAAGATGAGAAAGTTTCTGTGGACTTCCTGATTGAAGAAATTCAAAAGTTTGAACATTTTGTCCAGTCAGTCGACATTGTTGCCTTTAATAAGATCTAAAATGTAATTTTGTGCCATCACTGTATAATTATTTTGCCAAAATATAACATTTTTTAAAAATCAACTGATGCCCTATTTATTAATGTTATTAGTTTCAAGTGATCGTCATTACCATCCTCTCCGCTTATTAAGCATAATTAGTCTGTGTTACAAAATAGGACAAGAGCCGGAATAGAGCAGTCAGTATAGCGACTGGATGACAGCTTGGAGGTCGAGTCCCAGTGGGGTCAAGAATTTTCTCTACTCCAGATTGTCGAGACTGGCTCTTGGGCTCACTCAGCCTCCTATCCAATGGATACTGGGCGCCCTTTCCTTAGAGGTAAATTGGCCGGCATGTGAAGCTGACCACTCACCTCCAGCTAGTACCAAGGTCAAGAAAAGAAGGATCTATATATCCATTCGCCCATATGCCTTCATGGCATGGTGCTTAATTAGTTAAGCACAAGGACAACTTTGCCTTACAAAGTTTTTCTTATTCTCAGCATGAATTCCATGTACTGGTATGCCTTCTCACTGTCTACATCGAGGGACATGGTCATAGGCTTTCCTTAGACCAAAGAATGTAAAATATATGGCTCTTCCACAAGCTGATCTCTTTTACACAGCTTTGATGTAAAAATATTATCAGTTTACAGATAACCTTAGTGAAACCTGCTGTTCTCCATCTCGTCTATTCCAATTTCTATGTGTAGCATTACAGTTTTTTGTGCATGTCCATTGCAGTTAGTGATGGCTATTTCCTTGTATTCCTTACACTTGATCTGGTTACCTCTCTTAAATATCATTGTTACATACCCACTTTCCATTTTCTGGGAATGTGTGTATGATGTGAATATTTATTGTTTTATATAAAAAAGACTGCTACTGTAGTTTCTCTTAATACATTTCAGTTAATATTTATCAGTCATTATCTATGTTTCACTTTTACATGATAATGATGTAACAAAGGCTGTAAATTTGAAGTTTCCCATTTCCTAAGATTTAAAATTGCTTGAAAACTTGTGTCAGAGCTGGAACCTAGTTGCATCATACCTCATGTAGGCAGCCTTATGCGTGCATTCAATAATGTGCCCCATGTAAAGGGTGTAGGTACCATTGTTCATAGGTTTGGTTGAACCATTGCCAACATCCAGGAAATATTTAACAAACTCTGTGGCTTTTAGTCCATAAGTGAACTATACTGACCGAGCCACTGCCGCTTGTCAGTGCAGTAATGCCAACTTTTGCTGATAGAGAGTGTCACATGGTCAGCAAAATGGATTCCCACAGCCTTTAAACTCGATTTTCCAGACTGGAGCTGCTACTTTTCCGTCAAAATGGCTCCTTAGTTAGCCTCACAAGGCTGAGTGGACAACGTTCCAGAGCCACTACTTCTCAGAAAATCTGGTAGCTCCGGGAATCGAACCTGGGACCTCTGGATCTGTAGCCAGGAACTCTGACCACTAGACCACAGAGGCTGTCTCGACGTATTTAGCATAGTTATATCTTGAAATAATATCTTGCTGCCTTACAATGAAGAAACTAAAAAATAAAAGGAACTCATCTGTGATAAGTTAATACAAAAGTAAGAGTGGTGTGTATATGATTCCCAGGATTGTAATTGTAATGAAACTGACAGTTCTTACATTAACACTTCGCAGACCAGCAATTTAAATATTAAAATCACCCTGGGGACTGGAATTTTTAAACCTGCTGCCCTAACTTGTGCACTGTTCACTTTAAAAATTAATATAAAATCTAATTAATTTTATGAACTAAAATTTTTGGAGAACACTTACCAGTGCTCCTAGAAGTGCTTGAGAGTGTGATATTTCTGGAAACATTCCCCTTTGTGAAGTGGCATTACACAGAACTTGCAAATGTAGGCAGTCATACTCCTTTTTCTGTGAACTGCGCAAACATGGCATTGCCTAGAAGGCTGCTTCACCTTGGCATGTTCACTCTTCACAATTTTCACGAGGGTATGTTTCTGCATATCACCCGAGAATCACCCAGGGGGTCCACATGAGGCCTGCATGGGGTGGGAGTTGATGGATGCAGTCGAACTAAGTCTGTGTCCGCCTCCACCATCTGGTCTGTAGCCCAGGCTTTTGCCACATTCAGCAGAAATGCCTTGTATTTCAATTTTGAATGAGGGTTTAGATTTTTGAAAACCAAAAGTGAATTGAAAATGACACAATTTATAAGCCACAAGGCAACTTTCTTTGTCCACTTTACCGTTTTCCGAGGAAGAGAATAATAGGCCAAGTACTGATCGGCTCTATCAGCTCCCTTCATGAACATGTTAAACTTGGAGTTACAAACAGGCTTCTCTACCTGTCCATGTCTCCTTTGAACATCAACCATGCTCAAATTGTGAATTGTGGATTTGGGTCCGATGGAATTTGCTTCACCCCTGGATTTCCAGTAAACTGTCCCAAAGCAGGCGTTTTGTCTACTTTTCCCCATGTGGCTGTCACTGCAATGTTGCTACCCGCACTTTCGTCGGAGCTACTGTCACTTTCACTTTAACTGTCTGTGGCCACAATTTTTTTGTTCGCCCATGCCACACTCACTATCAGATTGTGAGTCGCTATCACTAGCAGACTCACAAAGGACGTCAGATAGCTCATTGGAGAACAAGTCATATTTCTTGTTCTCCGAGAAAACGCTTGGACCTCAACCTCTTCCGACCTTGATCCATTTTGCAGTAGTAACTTCCTGCCTGGTGCTTGCAGTTGGAAGATGAACAAAGGCATTTTCTTTTGGAGTGGGAAAGGAAAACAGTTGGGTCATAAACAGTGGGGTAATGTTACTGACTAACTGACTACAAAGCAAACATTCGAGAGGTCTATCACACACCAGTCATGTGTCTGCCTGGTGCCATTGCAAGGTATAGTGTGTTTCAACATAACGTGTCCTAAAATCATAATAATATGCCACTGGTCCGCCATGTTTAAAAGCACTGGGCATAAAAATATGCCACCCGTCCACAAAGTGTTAAAATTGTACTGTAGGGTGCATCTCAGGTATGAAGAAGTATTAACTCATTTTGAAAGTTTTGCTACTTCGGCATTTGTAAATAAGAGTTGTAAGAAGTCAGATATATATGATTATGAAATTTATGCCAGAAGAATGTAACATAATGATATAACAGCATTGGTTTATCATATTAAGTCTGTTCATAAAAGCCACATCAGGAGCTGCAATCATGCAAGGTTTGATTTTCTTATAATGGTAACTATGAAGATTACACTCTTAGGATGTGACTCCATGTAGTCTGGTAAATTGGTAGTATCATTTTAGAGGAATGTGCTGCCTTCATCTGCAGGATAGAAGATGGAGGCAACACATATCTTCAAAATGTTCATAATGTTCTGTTAGACTGAACACTGTCATCCCAGAAGATGGCAGTCTTCATGTTCAGAAAATCATAGTCGATTAGGTTGTATTCTAATTGTACAGTTTAAAATACAGAAGGATTCTAGATTACCATATTAGGGCATAATATGGGTGCTTTTACCTTTCTCATTCAGTGATAATGTTATATTCAGAAGGGAAGTCTTAATGTAAAGTGACAGAAATGGCAGTAAAGCATTTTAAACAGTGTTCTTGGAGGATTAAAATTTGATGATGAATCAGTATTTGTATTATTAACATACCTGATCATTGAATCTTTGTAGTAATGTTTTTATCTAACTTGAATTTTAAAACAGTCCATCACATCCTGAAATTTAAATCTTAGTTGCTTGATCAGGAAATAATTCAAGACAGTTGAATTATTTCCTGATCAAGCAACTAATTCAAGACAATTGAAAATAATGATACAGATAATGCACATATTTGTTCCAGTAACACAACCTAAATGGTTATAATTAACTTTACACCTAAACTTAGTAATGTGTTTTGACCTTGACAGTTGCCGTAAGGTTACAACATATATATTTTTGGCAAAACTGATATTGTTCCTACAGGTTTTGTTTGCAGATTGTATTTATGTGTATTATTCAAAGGTATCACAACATGTCACTCACATAAAGTATTTCATATAATGAAGAAAGTTAAATTACTTCAGAATATACAATAACATTTAAGTGCAGATTTGTGAATCTAAGGTGTAATATGCTCAGGAAATTTTTCAGAACAGTTATTCTTTTATAATATTAGAACACTTATTTTCATGAGTGAAGTACATGAATGTTAGATTGATTGATGTATAGAACAATGTTGCAGAAGCTGACTGTAAATGTCTGTTGGTACTAGTTACCATTGATTTGTTTTGGCATCATGTTCACTGTATACAGACAGATGATGTGTAACTTACACTATTCTTCATATGAAAAAAGATTTATGACTGACACATTCACACAAACTTCATAACACAGGACAGGGAAGACTGAACTCCAATGGAATACAAATATTTTTAATTGTGTTGTTTGTATACTTGCACTTCGCATTTCTTTGAGGAAAGACGTGAAACTGTTCATGGCCTGTAATATTTATAAAAACCTTTTATAGGAACAAATATATTTGATATAAAATTGTATTTAATTATCTTTTTCAGAAACTTCTGTTGCAAATATTTTTGCTCATATGAGCATTTACCAGGATATTTGTACGGTGTGTTTTTTAAATGCATCTAGAACTTGAGTGATAATCAGAATTTGAAGCAGTCAACAAATTTTAGCAAAACACTTCAATATGGGTCTTATCAATTTGGCTTATTTTGAAATATGTAGACAGACATAGAAGTCATATTTCTTTGCATCTACAGTATGAAAGTTCTTACAAGTAGTGTATACCACTTCCTTTATTATTTTCTTAATTGTAGATTGTAGATGTGCTTCTGAAGATAATAAGCTTCTGGTCATTCACAAATGCTTGGTGGTCTGTAAAATGTGGGAACTCTGTGCATGCTCTTCATCATTGCTTTGGATGTTAAGGTTGTTAAATAAACTTTTTATGTCTTAAGTGAGAGATTTTGGCTTTAATTGAAATCAGTCATGGCTAGTCATCCAGTAAGCTGTTGAATACTCTTATGACACTCTTTGAACACTTTATAATATCCAAGCTGCTGCATGTGTATGGTGCATTGCCGACCACCCATATAGTGGATCTTGGCATAATCTTCACAATCTATCCTTCCATTACCATCACAGTCCTGAAAATAAGGTATACACATAACACACATTAGTTGTCTGCAACTTGGAATGAATTAGCAAACAGTTAACATAGCCTGGAGATTTGATATGACACATACATACAATCCTGTTGTCACATCTCTGCCTCTGTGAGGTATGCTAGTTGTGTGGTGACATCGGGCAAATGTGACAGCAACAGAGAGGTGATTTGGTATAAATTATTGATGACAAGTTTTCATCCAGGAAAAGTAATTTGTCTCACTTCTTTCACTTAAAGTGACTGTGCCAGTTCCTATTCTGAATTATTATTAGATATTCTTAAATAAGTAAATTATAGAAAATAAATGTTAAGTATAGAACCAGACAGTTTAATATACCATGCAACATGTGATACAAGGTTTTCACTTGTAAATATTATAGTAACCCCCCTTCTGCATCATGGATTTTAAAACTGTAACATAACTACCCTTCATTTCCTCAACATGTAGACCTGGAGGAAAGATATCCACATGCTATTTTCAGAGCTTACTTGGACATGATCCTGGGTCACTTCAATCCATTCTCATTATAACCTATTTACCACTCATTCTAATATTGTCCTCATAACATATTTTACCCTTATGAGATATTCTCCAAGAGGTTTCTCAACCAAATTAATTTTATTTTTTATTTCCTTCCAAGATAAATATCTATCCTAACCTGTACTGTTTTTAACTGCCCTAATATTATTGTGTAAGCTGTATAAATCACAAAATGTCTCCTCGTGTGATATTTCCCACTTTCCACTTCTGTTAGGTACAAAAGTCATTGTGCCCATGCACCACACTATGAAGATGTATGCAGAGATGGAAGTAAAACTCCTCTCATTCCTAATCACAGAAGTAGACAGAAGTGAGTAGTCAGCTTCATGCTCTAGGCACTTTCCCATAAAGGTTACAAACACCAATACTAATTTTGATGGTAAGCAGAATGGCTTTCAGAGCCAGTCTGAATACTGGCAAAGAAATGTATTTCTTTTTCTGGCAGTGTTTGAACCCAATTTATCATCATCATCGGCAAACTAGCCCTTTTTGAGCCATAACCTTTCAAAGAAGATTCTGCAGCACTTGTCTATGCAAATTAGACCATCTGGTTTTCACTCTGTTGGATTTTGGAACAATAATTTTTTTACACAGCAGTGTCATCAGCCTAGTGTCAAACCCTGTTCCTGGAGGAACAGATCTCTGATTTTTGTCCCCCAGTGTTAGGGTGGCCTAATTAAAATTTTAGGCACTAAGTTCCCTTTTTGTCACCCTCTACAACTCGCAGTGATGTGATGGAGGAATTCTGCCCGCACATGGGATTCAACCCCATTCATCTATCCATAGCTGGTTGCTTTACTAACAACTGTTTCAGCTTATTTCTCATAGGTGCTAGAATAACAGGTTTGTTAACATTTATTTGGAGAATTAATGAAAATGTTATTGTATTACAAGGTGGTGTATGGGAGAGCTCAGATTTGTGAGCAGTTGTTCATCATGATGGACCGTTCTTTGAAAAAAGGAGTATCGAATTGTGAACACTTCCCTCTTGTCTTCAAATCTTACCTGAGCGTATCTTGCCAAATAACGATGAACTGTTGCAGCCGCACAATAAGGCTCAGTAACACACCTAATGTAAGCTGGAAACACAATGTAATGTTAACAATTTACAAAATATTCCAAGCATTTAAAATAACAGTACTTCCTATACTGTAGAATTTATAGCAGTGCTTCTTGCAATGTATGTCTCAATGGAATCCATTATTTTCTAATGAGACAACTACAGAACTGGAACGAGCATATTCTGTAATATGTTGTTACAAATTCCCTGTATGTCAATGTACACTATTCTTTTCAAGTTTCCATATTCACTTTTTTCTTGTGAGATTAATATCCACCACAGTGCAGTTCTTCCATTCTTATGATTCCTCCTTTGCAGGCTGTTTTTTTGTCTATTGAATTATGGAAATTGGCATTAAAATTAATATAGAGGAAAGAGAGCCATTTTAGAGTGAAGTATATGCTGTACTTGTGCTCTGTGCCAGTATATGCCTGTGTACTCTGTACTGAATTGTTAGAATGTAAACACAAGCAACTGATATTTATTCAGCTGGTCTAGAAATTTTCTGCTTATATTCATCAGAATGTTTGCAAAAAAACATATTTGAACCCCTACACATAACTAATTCAATCTAGAAATAGTAGACATAACAACAACAACAACATGTTTACAAGGAACATATACTTTTTAAATTTTTTTTCAACCTGATTTCCACACTTGAATTATTGTTTTTTTTGTTAATGTCATTGTTGTCATTATTATTATTGCTGCTGCTTCTGTTGCAGTCTTCGTTGTTAGTTTTATACAAGGTTTCTGATAAATGCTGTAATTCATAACAATTTCAACTGCTGCTGCTGCTGTGTCAGAAGAACATATTCAAAAATAAATAAACCAAAAGGTTTCCCAGTCTTATACCAATTACAGAAATAAATAGCTCAGTTTGTAAAGTGATTGGCCACTAGTGGAGTTTTATTTGCAGTGAAGACATGCATTTTCACGTCCTTCACTGGGACCACTCACCTCCAACAGGATGTGGAATACATTGTACTTTAGCAGCAATCCTGATACTGTACATGCCTTCAGTCTGCAGTGCTTAGACAGAAAGTTAATTTTAACTTTTTAACGTGCTGTTCAGGGGGCACGTGATAGTGTAGTTGGTTGAGGCACTTTGCTACAAGCCGGTTGGTCGCAGGTGCAAGTCCCGATGAGGTCATGGGATATTTTTCAATTTACCTAACCCTTCCAGCCACACTATGGCCCTGGGGTCGACTTATCCTCTAACAGAAATGAGTACCAGGAATATTCTTGAAGGTAAAGGACGGTGGGCACATAGGGCTGACAACCGCGACGCCATCTATGAACCGATTGTCTAGAAAATGTGGGAACCTCAACATCTCACAATCCTATGGTCTTCTGCGGCCTGTTACAGGAATACCTTTACTTTTTTTACTTTACTTACTGTGCTGTTCATACCACTGTTATCATGGGCAGTAAATTCTCACCTCCTTTGTTGTTTGGATGATCACCTGGAATTGTTGGTCTTCCAGCCTCTTTCCAGTATATCCGAGAGATGAGGAATGGGCCACAGAGGCCTCTGGTGCAATGAAATGTGAGATTGCAATTGGATGTAGCTTCACAGATACATCCCATACACAACTCCATATCAAGATGATTTTGCTGCCCTGAAAGAATAGCTGCATAAGTTGGTTTTTAAAATTCAGTATTTGGTAACTCTAGATGATGGTAACAATTTTAATCTTATGTGAGAGACCTGTATAGAGAAATAAATGACTTTAAGAGGGTTTACCAATCATTGAATGTACATAGGGTCAGTGATGTTAGGCAGACAGAAATCCATACAGCTTAGCCGTTAGTACCTGATCCTAGCCCTTAACTTCTTCACGCAGGAGGTGAAATATTACATTCTAAGATCCACAATCTAATTACTTCTATTTGGCATAAGGGAAAATTGCCTGATCAGTGGAAGGAGTCTATTATTGCACCCGTTCACAAGAAGGGTGATAAAACTGACTGTAGTAACTATCGGGGGATATCACTGCTATCGACTACAGACAGAATTTCATCCAATATTCTTCTCTCAAGGTTAAGTCGATATATAAATGAAATTATTGGGGATCATCAGTGTGGTTTTTGACATAACAGATCAACTACAGATCAGATATTTTTCATTTGTCAGATATTGCAGAAAAAATGGGAATATGATGAGACAGTACATCAGCTATTATAGACTTCAAGAAAGCCTATGATTCTGTTAGGAGGGAAGTATTGTACAATATTCTGATAGAGTTTGGCATACCAGTGAAACTAGTTAGGTTGATTAAAATGTGCGTTTAAACGAAACATATAGTAAAGTCCGTGTAGGTAAACATTTGTCTGATAAATTTCCTGTACAGAATGGTCTAAAACAAGGAGATGCTCTGTCGCCACTTCTTTTCAACTTTGCCTTAGAATATGCAATTAGGAAGGTCCAGGGAAACCAGATGGGACTGAAATTAAACGGGACACATCAGCTGTTGGCCTATGCCGATGATGTGAATCTACTGGATGCTAATGTAGATACCATAAAGAAAAACACACAAACTTCAATTGACGCAAGTAAAGAGGTTGGTCTAGAAGTAAACACTGAGAAAACTACGTATATGTTACTGTCTCATCACCATAATGCAGGGCAAAATCATGATATAAAGATAGGAAACAGATGTTTTGAAAATGTGGCATAATTCAGATATTTGGGAACAACGATAAGAGAGTGTAACTTGATTCAGGAGGAAATTAAGAGGAGATTGAACTCGGGTAATGCTTGCTACCATTCAGTCCAGAACCTTTTGACTTCTCGTCTGCTGTCCAAAAACAAAAATTAAAATATACAAAACCATAATTTTGCCTGTGTTTCTGTATAGGTGTGAAACCTGGTCTCTGACATTAAGGAAGGAACATAGACTGAGGGTGTTTGAGAACAGGCTGTTGAGGAGAATATTTGGACCAAAGAGAGATGAAGTGATAGGAGGTTGGAGAAAACTGCATAATGAAGAGGTTCATAACTTGTACTCTTCTCCAAGTATAATTAGAATGATCAAGTCAAGGAGGATGAGGTGGGCAGGGCATGTAGCACGAATGGGGGAGATGAGGAATGTGTATAGGATATTGGTGGGAAATCCAGAAGTAAAGAGACTACTGGGAAGACCAAGGTGTATGTGGGTGGACAATATTAGAATGGATCTTAGAGAGATAAGATGGGATTGTATTGATTGGATTGATCTGGCTCAGGATAGGGACCAGTGGATGGCTCTTGTGAACGCGGTAATGAAGCTTCGGGTTTCATAAAATGCTGGGAAATTCTTGAGTAGCTGCAGAATTGGTGGCTCCACCAGAAGGGCTCAGCTCCATGAGTAAGTAAGTAAGCGAGTTCAGGAGGAGATGGTCAGTGAGCAAGTTGGCTGCAGCTGCAATGCTCCTGACTTTCATTCAGAAGGTGCCTGGTTTGAATCTTGACCAAGCCACCGACTGTTTCAACTGAGATTTGTGTAAGTTTCCTGAGTCTTTTTCCTTTCCTTTCCTCTCGCCCCCGCTTTGGTGCATAGGGCTGATTTCTCAGTTTGACGATCATTTTTACAGACTGTAGGTACTCCTTGGACGGGTGATCAGCTCGTCGCAAGACCTCTACCTAAACATAGAATAAACGCATACACACACATCAAACATCCATGCCTTATATGGGATTCGAACACACGATCCGAGCGAGCGAAGACGGTACATGCCTTAGACCGCACAGCTACCGTGACCGGCTTTCCTAAGTCCCTCTGTGCAATTTCTGACACAACCTTAAATTTGTCCATACCAACTTACTTCCACGTCTTTTGCAACTTAGTATTGACTACCGTGCAGTCATTCGATGTCACATAACTAAACTAAACTCCGTGATTTTAGTCCGCAAGCGAACTATACTGACCGAGCGACCGCCGCTTGTCGGCGAAATTAGTGCCAACTTTTGCGGATAGAGGGTGTCGCGTGGTCAGCACAACGAATCCCCACGGCCGTTAATTTCGGTTTTCTAGACCGGAGCCGCTATTTCCTTGAAATAACTCATCAATTATCATCACGAGTCTGAGTGGACCCCGATCCAGACCCGCTACTTCTCAGAAAGAAACTTGGTAGTGCCGGGAATCGAACCCGGACCTCTGGATCTGTAGCCAGGAACTCTGACCACTAGTGTTGAGTTATTGACAGCATTGTTAAATAAAGCACAAATAAATATTTTAAAATGGTCGTGGCGCCCATTAATTCGCATTTATACGTAGTATACTGTTACCCAATTATTCACAGTTGTATAGTCTTAGGTTTTAACAGCGTCATTAAATAAGGTAACGTTAAGTTGTCCATGTGCTTAACTAATTAAGTACTACGCCATGAAGGAGTATGGGGGAGTGGATGTATAGATCCACATTTTCTTAACCTCGGTACTAGATGAAGCTGAATGGTCAGCTTCACGCCCTGACCGCTTTACTACTGGGCAAGAGCCCCGGTACCCATTGGATAAGAGGCTGGTTGTGCCCCAGAGCCGGTCTGGAAGACATGGAGAAGTGAAAATTCTTGCCCCCACGGGACTCGGAACTCCGACCCCTTGGTCGTCCAGCCGGTAGCCAGTCGCTATCCCGGTTCTTTCTGTTTCTTAAACTAATTATGAATAATAATTAATTAATTCTATAATGTGTTGTTCCTATTACAGTGCGTTCGTAATATAACGCGAACTACTACGATTAAAAGCATAGTAATTCAGCATCTTTGTTATGTATTTGTTTTTCAGTTGCTTCCAGAGAAGCGGTGCGGCTCCCACTTTGAGAAGCGTCGGATTAGAGTAGTGTCCCAATTCTTATTGTATAGCAAGTATTAATCACCACAGCTCTTTGAATCAGTCGCAGCTCAGGAGCATTTCCAAGTTCCCCATTATGTCTCGCGCAAGACGATTTGTCGAAATGATTGTAGTGATTTCACTGAGATTATGACAGGGTAGATATTCAGTTTCAACTACGGAGACAAGAAATATGTACATGATTCTTGCAAGGAAAGCAAGCTTTTTAAAACAGTTATTTGACGGAGAAAGGAAATTGGAATACGATATTAGAAGAGACCATTGCATGAGACACGGAAATGGCTCAGGTTCGTGACCATTGGAGACCTTTATTGTTACCAGGGTTAGTTCTGTTGACATGAGAACCTTAGACCTATACACGAAGTCAGCAATTACTAATGCGCAATTGTTTTACTTGTGCGTAAGTAACACAGTCCAGTTTTCAGCCGAGACATTAGGTGTGGAGATCGCTAGTTCATACGTATTACGATGGGTATCTATTATGTGAAGTCACTCGTGGTTTTTCACAGTTCCTCTAGGCATTTTTTTCTGCCAGGGCTACAACAGCTTTGACTTCCACCTTCTCGAATTCACAGTGCGTAATCAACCTTCGATGTGTCATAACTTCGAAACAATTTCGCATTCTAATGGTCCAGGTATTCATGAAGTATGACCTGCATTTTTGGCATGATTCCAGTCGGGTGTGAAGTGTAATTCTTCAACACTTCCGTTATGCAAATAGTAGATACATGCATGTGAATGTCCTTTTCGAAAACAGTGATGTGTTCAAACTTCAAATTTGCAATTTACTGACATGTTTACGATCTACTTGTAGTCATCGGTATACTGATTGATTAAATTTAGCCGTTTATATCTCTCTGTGTCACCCATTCACTCTTTAAATACTATAAAGAAAACATATCACGTTCAGAAACATTTTGTTCTGTCTTGTTTTATTTTTATATCCAACTTGTTATTTAACGCTATCAGGGAATGACTAGGAAGGTGAACCAAGCACTTTTCCTTTCGCTTCTTTGTGTCAATCTAGATATACAATGCGGATACATTTCTATATCTAGCTTTATGCCTACTGGTCCCATTTTGGGACATACGGAATCCGTGAAATGCTTCGTTTCACTTCAGTTTCTTAATCTTAGACAGTCGGTAAGACTCCTTGGAAGGGGGATCAAGGCCTCACAAGGCCGCTACCTATACATAACAGAATAAACGCAGACAAACATCCATGCCTCGAGTGGGATTCGAGCCCGGGATCCTGTGTTCAAGCGAGCAAAGACAATTCTTGCCTTAGACCACGCGGCCACTGTGATCGTCCAGTGCAGTTCCGTAGTATGTGTTATTACAAATATACGTCTATTGTTGAAGAGCGAATCATATTAGCTTTCACTGTAAAGAAAATCAGAAATTGTTTTTGTTGATTCTATTAAAACACACCACATCGGGAAAATTGCACCAAATGAGGCCAATATTGGCCTCTTGAAGTGGTATTCAACCTTTTTTGTTTTACATTTTTACTCGATTACAAGCATTAACCGACTAAACGTATACGATCTTTGGTAAAGGTAAAGTTGTCCCTGTGCTTAACTAATTAAGCACTACGCCATGAAGGCGTATGGAGGAGTGGATGTATAGATCCACATTTCCTTGACCTCGGCACTAGCTGGAGGTGAGTGGTCAACATCATGACTCAGACCGGTGTGCGGCGGTTTTCATAATCTCATTCGTTTCAACTGTGCTCCTTTCTTTGCGTAATGTCGCAGACATCGTGTCTTGACGCATGCCGGTGTGCTGCCT